AATACAGACAATACAGAGTTACAAACAAAGTGGTAGGAAATTAACAATGCTTCTTGTATTACATATTGATATCTTCAAAGTGGTTTCTCATGAAAACAGATATAGACATGCAGTACTGATCAGCCAAGGACTCATTGACAGTTTCTTTCAGCAAAGAAATAGAGGACAGTAGAACAACCATGTTAACTATCCTGTATGTACATACATACAAAATTTCTCCTTCTTTCCCTTCTCTTTTCCCCCATCCCAATTGCCCTTTACCCTTGAGTGCTTTCCTACCATTTCACACTGTCTACCATACCTCTGAGTTTAAATTAACTCTTTCAGGCTTTACACTAGTGAAACAATGCGGTGCTTGCACATGTATGTTTGATTTATTTCACTTATGAGTATGGCCTCTAGTTGTGACCATTTACGTATAAAAGCCTCAAGTTTATCTTTCTTTACAGCTGAGTAATATTCCATTATATAAAAGTACCACAATTTTCTTATCCAATCCTCAGTGGATGGACATTTGGTGTGCTTCCACATTTTAGCAATTACAAATTGTGCTGCTATGAACATAGGTGCACATACATCACTGTGATATGATGTTTTTAGATCTTCTGGGAAAATCCCCAGCAGGGGGATAGCTGGGTTGAATGGGACCTCTAGGCCTAGTTTTCAGAGGAATCTCCAAACTGATTTCCACAATGGTTTCACCAGTCTGCATTCCCACCAGCAGTGGAGAAGGGTTCCTATTTCTCCACAGCCTTGCCAGCATTTGTTATTGGTTGATTTCTTAATGCTAGCCATTCTTACTGGGGTAAGATGGAATCTCAGTGTTGTTTTAATTTGCATTTCTCGAATGACTAATGATGTTGAACATTTTCTCATATATTTATTTGCCTTTTGTATCTCCTTGTCTGAGAAGTGTGTATTCATCTCAGCTGCCCAATTTTGGATTGGGTCTTTGAATTTGGAGGGGCTGATATTTTTTAATTCTTTATATGTTCTAGATAGAAGGCTTTTGTCTGAGGGACAATCAGCTAAAATTTTTTCCAAGTTTGTGGGTTTTCTTTTGACTCTGCTGGTGATTTCTTTAGATGTGCAGAAACTTTTCAGTAGGATGAGATCCCACTTGTTGATTCTTTCAAGTGTTTCACGTGCAGTTTGGTTTTTGTTCATGAACTCTCTGCCTACCCCTATGTCTTTGAGGTTTTTACCTACTTTCTCTTCCAATAGATTTAGTGCTTCTGGTTTAATATTGAGATCTGTGAACCATTTTGACTTGAGTTTGGTGTATGGTGATAGGCTTGGGTCTATTTTCAGTCTTTGGCAGGTAGCAAGCCAATTTTTCCAGTACCGTTTATTAAAGAGGCTATCGTTCTTCTAGTGAGTTTGATTGGCCCCTTTATCAAAGAATAGGTGGCTGAGTTTGGTTTTGGTTGTGGCTGTTTCTTCCAGTCTGTTCCACTGATCCTCAGGTCTGTTTTTTAGCCAGTACCAGGTTGATTTTATGACCGTAGCTTTATAGTATAATTTCAGGTCAGGGATTGTGATTCCACCTGACTTGTCCTTGTTGCCCAGGATTGCTTTTGCTATTGCTTCTGCTCTTCTGGTTCCAGATGAATTGAAGCCATGTTTTCTCAGATCTGTGAGGTGTGCTAATGGTAGTTGAATGGGAATTGCATTGAATCTGTACAGCAGTTTTGGGCAAGGGCTTCATTTTTCCAGAGAGAACAGCATGGTGTTCCCCAAAAATATTGATATGCTTTTATGCTAGAAATTTTGAAGTTTATAAGTATACAATTGTGTGTGATCCATACATATATAACCAATGCACGTGAACATTATGCACAATTCTCCTATAGATTATTTTCAACTTTAAAGAGAGACACAGTTTGTTATTTATCTCAAATGGGGTTAGGTCCATATAATTTCATAGTGTTAAAATCTTTAGCATATGATGCTGTAATATATGCTTTTAATCACCAATAAACTGTTTTATTTAATACTTTTGCCAGAAATATTTTCTTAAAGAGCAAATCAGCATAATAAACCTGTCATCCTTAAGTTTCAATTTTTAAAAAGCTGTCAAGGAGCCTATAATCTGAAGTCTTACCCTATTGACTATCTAATGTTAGAAAATGCTAATAAGCTTTCCTTTCTTTCTTTTATCCTGAAATCCAGGGTACTGAGGTACATTTTAAACTGTTTAAGAACAATTTTGAATTTTCAGTTCCCTTTTTTTTCTTGAGACAGGTTTTTCAATGCAGTTCAGGCTGGCCTTGAAGTCATCTGTAGCGCAGGCTGGCCTTGAACTTGCAGTGATCTTCCTGCCTTGGCCTTCTGAGTTCTAGGATTACAGGTGTGCATCAACATGCCTAGCCTTCAGTTCACTTTTGCACACAGTTTGTATTTAGGACTCCTGGGAAGCCACATTAAGACAGTTTTTATACAACTGCTTCATTTTTCTACTTCCATTTATTTTTGAAATAACATTTTAGCAAGCTTTCAGACTTTACTATGGTTGGGAACCCCTAGGAAGTGTTTTACTAAGACAGGGAGAGGGCTTGTATCCACACTTAATTTTCTTCTTTGTTAAATATGTAGGGCCAGAGGTCTAACGCCTTCATCTTCTGGTGGGAAGGTCCTTCTGTCTAGTTAGAGAATGTAAATCTTACGCATTTACATAGAGATGGTATAGTCAAGTAACAAACACAAATACAAGTCAATGAAAAAAAAATCCTACGAAGTAATTTAGAAGATATCTAAAAATAGAGCAAAATGTAAGTAATATGAATATGCAAAGCAAATAAATTACCACAAAATTTAAATAGAATAAATACTTCATGTAAACCTAAATGGCAAAATTGTACAATAAATCATAAATCTACTTATTTTCTGTTTACAAAAACATGTGGAAACAAAAATGAATATGGAAAACTTTTAAAATGTAGAATGGCAATGTCCACAAAGCTATCATGATGGAAACTCCAACAAGAACACATCTAACATAGCTGTGCTATTTTCAGGTACATTGGATAAGGAATAAATGCAGTATTGGAATTTTTAAAAAGGAAAATAAATTTACTAGTTGTAATAGTACAGAAGGGGGCTGGGGATTTAGCTCAGTGGCACAGCACAAGGTCATGAGTTCAATTCCTGGTATGGGAGAAAAAAAAATAGTACAGAGGATCAAATCCTCACAATGAAATATTCTTATTTTATATATTTTACAATAATATGGCCTTACATGGAAAAGGAGAAAAAAGGTGAAGTGCCTGATGCTGATAAGGAGAGTACATTTAGGAAGATTAAGAGGGAGATGAAGTAGTGTGAGTGGGAAATTTATGGTTTGTACTGAGCAATTTCAACAATCTTGTCCAAAATAATAATGTTTGCATATTTACAGTACAATCCAAAGCTAAATTAGTAAGTCTAATCAATTAGATTCATATATATAGGTACAGCACCCAAATGAAAAGTGCATACTTTCAGCTAAGTATATAGATCAGTGGTAGGGCATTTTCTAAGTCTATAGGAGGCAGAGTATTTGATCTGCACCACTACAAAAATAGTAAGAATACATGTTTTATCACTCATAGGGAGCATTAGCAAGGAGTTAACATAAACTAGGCTGTTGACCAAGAGTCAACGCAAAGGATGGTTGTAATTAATACAAGAAAATAGTGTTTTGTATGCTTGCTGGTATGTCAGATAGCAGCATATGGAAATGGAAGAATATGTCACTGGCTGAGAGAGTATTTGTATCCAAAACTGCACAAAAAAGGAATAGTACTATTTTAAATAAGAACTGCTACAAATGTTAATGTTCCCAGTGACGGTTTTGCATTTTCTAGTTATGAAATGATTGCAGTGTTGAATTTTGTACATTGCTAAATGTATTCAGACTTGCCAATATTCCTGTTTTTCTCAAATGCCCTTGAATTTATAATTCTTTTACCTCAGGCCCTAAAATTGATCTGAGTGTCCTGCTTTTTAAATTTTTATTAGTACATGTTTGCTGTACATAATAATTAAATTTATTCTGGAGTGTCCCGGTTTTTGTTCCTGGCAGCTGTATAACTTTGACAGAGCAGAGGCGTACATTGCAGATTCAAGCCTTCTGCTGCACTACAATCATCCAGCAGAGCTTGCGGTTTTTATTCTTAAATCTCAGGTTATGTTTCTCTATTCTCAGATCTCAGAGATTTGATTTTAAATTATTTAAAATCAAAATAAAATAATTAAAATTATTTAAATTATCCTTCATCTTCACTGATACATCCAGAATGTACTTGTTTTACTCAGGCACCTGAGCCACTGAGCTATATCCCCAGCCTCCAGAATGTACTTGTCTTAATATGAAGCACTTAGTATTGTGCTATTATGTGCAACTATTTTAATTCTTGATATCAAGGACCATTTACCCAGCCAACTGTGAGTGGAATCTGCTTTTTAATTCTTTAAGCTTCCCTCAACACAGCTGAAAGTTATTGTACGGTTCTTTTAGAGTAAAAGTTATGTTATTTATTTTCTTACAAATTCTAGGACTTCATGGAGGCCAAGTTCTTCCAAAGACAGATTGAATTTCATTGTTTAGGACATTGTCTTAACTCAGCTGGCTGCATAAAATCACCACTAACCAGGTATTTAACACAATAATCATTTCTTTTTAACAATTGTACACAATAAGAAAATTAAGAGGGACTGCTTCCTAGTTTATAAGTGAAAAAAAAGTCTTAGTAATGCATCCTTTCAGAACAGACTAATGAAGCAACTCTCTCTGGACTCAAGTAAGGGAAATTACCTAATTCATGAGCAATCCATCCTCAAGCCCTTGCCTATCCAGATTATCTCATGAAAACAAAACTTCTAATGCCATCAAACTCAAGCTTAGACTCTTGTTATATGACTATGGAGGAGGAGCACATTTAGTTCACAAATGCTATTGTACTGGATTGGAATATAATCAGTGAGTCTTTTCCCTAAGGACCTTGATCCTCTCTATGCAGGCTTACGCTGAGCAACTACCAGAGTTTTCTGGCCTTCATTTTTGCCATAGAAGAGATCAACAGAGATCTTCATCTTTTACCCAACATATCTCTGGGCTACGAGTTCCATAATTTCCTTTACAGTCACTGGAGGATACTGGAGAGTTCTCTCATTTTGCTCACAGGGCAGGATGAGATCCCCAATTACTCCTGTAGGAGAAAGAGCAAGTCTGTCGCAGTGCTAAAGGAACATCATGGGCAACCTCTCCTCAAATTGGACCACTGCTGGAGCTCTACAAGTTTCCACAGGTGAGGGTTGTGTGATGGGGAAAGATGAAACCATGTCTTTGCTGGGGCCATTATAAGCTGCCTAGAAGGGATGAAAGGAGGAGACTGGGTTTATGCATCATGGAAGTAGACAGTCTCAAACAGGAAGTAGACAGAGACTTGGTGGCTACTCATAATTTTTGTGTTCAGCCAAGAGGAGGGGCAGAAGAAAGTTGTAAGGGACAACATGAGTCAGAGACCAGCAGGGACCACCAGGCTTGTATAAAGGCAACATGGCATAAAATTTATTGTGCGTGGGTGCAGACAGACAGAGGGTGAAAGGGCAGTCTGTGAGGTAGACAGAAAACCAGAGCCTTTTCAACAGGGCTTGGACAAGGGGGTGTCAAGTCGGGAGATAAGGCAAAGTATGTGGTAGGGGGCTCAGGAACCTCAGGTGAGGACATCTGAGCAAATAACCACGGTCAAAGTTCACCAGTTCCTCAGTTTCAAAGTCCTCGGGGCATCTGGTATGAACATATAGATGTTTCCAGATGTCCTGTGCTCAGAAGATTTCATGTTGTCTTATCTCTTCATGACATCCTGCCCTGTGTTTGTCAGGGAACTGGGTTGGGTTTTGTCTGAGAGTGATGCTGCTGCCGACAAATAAATTAGGTGCTGCGAAAGTCATGTCCAGGTCCAGCCTGACAAAAGTGAGGATGTGTTGTAGAAGTCTGAGTCTGATCAGCTATTTTATAAAATTCTTTTAGTGAATGAGCTCATTAAAAGTGGGAGCAGCAAGAGTCTCCTTCTGTTGCATCCGGCTGTTGCTACTCTTCAGGTCTGGCACTGGGGTGTGTCAATACCCTTCCTCATGCTGCTTCCAACTTCCTTTTCATTTCAGGTTACTTTCGGTTCTTTTGATCCTATGCTTAGAGACACTGCCCAGTTTCCTTCTCTCTATCAGGTAGCTCAAAAGGACACATCACTGGCCCTTGCCATGGTCTCCTTGATGATTCATTTCAGGTGGACCTGGGTGGGACTTCTCATTACAGAAGGCCAGAAAAGTCTTCAGTTTCTCTCAGATATAAAAGCAGAGATGGACAGGAATGGCGTCTGTGTTGGATTTCTACAAATGATCTCAAATCCTCTTATGTCATATGTCTCAAATATGCAGCACAAAAATAGCCTGATCAAGGAACCAATGTCAGTAAATGTGGTTATTATTTACTATGATAGTGACGGTCTAAATGAAGTCGATGTTGATATCCGGCAATATTTAGTGACTTGGGGAGTCTGGGTGACAAACTCCCAATGGCATGCTGACATGGCTGGGAGAAATTTCATCCTTGACTCATTCCACGGGACTCTTATTGTTTCACAGCACCACGAGGAGATTCCTGGTTTCAAAAATTTTGTCCAGACAGCTAATCCTCCCAAATACCCAGAAGACACTTACCTCACTATGTACTGGTTCCAGAATTTCCATTGCTCTTTCTCTGACTCTGATTGAGAACTGAAGGACTGTGCACCCAATGCCTCTTTGGTGCAGCTGCCTGTGAATCGTTTTGACACAGCCATGAGTGACGGGAGTTACAATATATACAATGCCGTGTATGCTGTGGCCTACGCTCTCCATGAGATGCTCCTACAGCAAGGACAAAGGGCACTCGTGGAAACCAGAGAAGCAATGGTGTTTTCCCCCTGGCAGGTAACGTGTCTTCCACTGGGTGATACATAGCATCATCAAGGTACCTTACTTAAGTTATTACACATGTGCTCCACCCAAGGAGCTTAAGAATCTTTCTTCAACAGTGTAAGAGACTATGCACCAGTCTCATGAATAAGGTAAATCTTGACCTGGGTTGAAATGGTCATCAAGAAAGGAGCCACTGGCAAGCAGGATATACATACAAGGCAAAGTCACTGCTCTAATTTAAAGGACGTCAGTGCCACATCCACCTAGTATTTTCATTAGAACAATCCAAATATTTACCAAGAATTTCTTAAAGCCTAACAGAGAAACCTGTCGTCCTTTATGAACCTAAATGGCATTTAATGGCGTAATGCACACATTGTATCAGTTTTCTCATTCCATTCTTCATCCACTTTTGGAACTGATAACCACATTTTGTGGGCCGGGGATAGAGCTCAGCAGCACAGCGCCTGCCTGGGAAGTGCAAGGTCCTGTTTGATTCCTGGTACAAAACACACACACACACACACACACACACACACACACACACACACACAATTTTGCAGGCAGCTACGATGAGAACAATCCAAATGAAAACGGTTGTTAGAACATTGATCACACAACTGATTTGACCTAAAATCCATTTATTGTGTTTATGAAGTGGGCATAGATGACAGATTTCTCCAGAAAGTAACATTTTAAGAATAATACAATATTTAGTCCTCCATAGGTTTTCATTTGTTTTACTTCACTGATGGCAGCGTTAACATTGCATATGGAAGGCCAGGGATATAGCTCAGCGGCACAAGTGCCTGCCTGGCAAGCGCAAGGTCCTGAGTTCAATTCCCAGTACCAAAAAAAAAAAATTGCATATGGAAAGGAATGAAAGAGAAGCTGTTGCTTTCCTCATTCAAGTTTTCTGTCTTAATTCTGTCTTAATCCCTGTTCACGTAGGATGATGTCTCTTTTAGCTGCACCCTTTTCTGAAGAACACACAATTTAACAATCCTGTTGGAGACCAAGTGAACTTGGATGACAGAAGGAAACTGGATGTAGAATATGACATTTTGAACTTCTGCAATTTTCCAGAAGGCCTTAGACTTAAGGTCAAAGTAGGAACATTTTCCCTACATGTTTCACTTGATCAAAGATTATCTGTATCTGAAAATATGATCGAGTGGGCCAGAGCAATTACAGAGGTACGCTGGGCATAATCATACTGCACTTTGTGAACCACAAATACCCGGAATAATGTTATAGGCTTAGTGCCCCCAACTTTGCTTATGAAATTATATACAAAATTGGACAACTCCCTTTTTAACCTGAAAAAATTTCTTATTTAATATGCTCTTATGAAAGAGAATGGAGGATATTTATTTAATTATATTTTTAAATATATGTATTTAATATTACTAAAATATTGAGATTAAATATAAAACTGTGTATATGTATGTGTACAAATGAAGTGTATCCCTCTAGTCCTGAAGGGTTAAGTAAAGTCTAAGAAGTCATCATTTTATAATGTTTTCCTCAGACTCCCCGCTCGGTGTGCAGTGAGAGTTGCAATCCTGGATTTAGGAAAAGCCCTCAGGAGGGAAAGGCTGCCTGCTGTTTTGACTGTACCCCTTGTGCAGACAATGAGATCGCCAATGGCACAGGTAGGAGCATGTCCTTGGACACGTTCTCACTTTATTTTATATTCACTCCATCCATCCAGGAAATGGAAAACATTTGTAGAGGACAACAGTGATGAAATTCTTCCTTCCTTCACTAAGACATTTATTTACTGTACTCCGTACAGTTACCCCTTAAAAACACACTTTCTGTCCATTAAACTACACTGGCTCATTTTTGTTTTGTTTTCTTTTTCTTCCTCTTTTTTTTGGGGCACTGCAGAGATTGAACAAATAGGTGCTCTACCACTGAGCTGCATTAGCATTTTTCATTTATTTTGAGACAGTACCTCACTAAATTGCCTCAAATTGGCCTAAAACTTGTTGTCCTTCTGCCTCAGCCTACTGAGTAGCTGGGATGACATGTGCCACTTCTGAAAACATTACTTCTCAAGAATATCATTTTACACCACACCAGTATTAATGTTTCACCTTCATTATGTTTACAGTACAGTATTATTAAATACAAATTCTACATTCTTTAAAACTATTTTAAATTACACTGGAGACAAAAATTTGGCATGCGCTTGCCTTTCTATTGTTCTTGACACAAAGCAGGAGTTCAGAGAGCATGTAATTGGTTTGAGACAGAGTATGTCTTTGGTGTACGACATGCTTATGTACAGTGTAACCTCAATTACTGAAGTTTATCCCTGCTTGCCTAGCATTTATATGTGAGCATTGGAAATGTGCCCTGAGTTAGTCTGTGACATACAGCTGCAATGACAAAGAACACACAGACTAAGGAATTTCGTAAGTGCTGATATCTACACTTCTTGTGAGTATGTCCAAGATACTTTACAGAGACCATAGCATTGGTGCTTTATCAGAGAGATGATGGGTTGTATAAATTTTTGTTAGGATAACAGTGCCTGAAATGGTACATTCCCTATTTTTGTAATATTTGAAGGCTTAAAGTGAGGTTCCACACTTCTCAACTGCTGGTAGCAGTGTAGATTGGTGAAACCACTGTGGGAATCAGTGTGGAGGTTCCTCACAAACTAGGACTAGAGATTCCACTTAATCCAGCTATTGCCTTTCTGGGTATTTCCCCAGAAGAATTAAAAACATCATACCACAGCAATATATGTGCACCCATGTTTATAGCAGCACAATTTGTCATAGCGAAATCCTGGAAACAACCCAAATACCCATCCACTGAGAAATGGATTAAAAAAGATGTGTTGTTTTTATGGAATGGAGTATTACTCAGCTATAAAGAAAGATAAACTCGAGGCTTTTACAGGTAAACGGACACAACTAGAGACCATACTCATAAATGAAATGAATCAGACCCACATGTGTAAGCATCATATTGTCTCCCTGGTGTAAAAAACCTGAAAGAGTAAATAAAACCCAAACTGTACAATAGATATTATGAAAGGGAAAGAAATTGCTCAAAAGAAGGAACAACTGGGATGAGGGAAAGGAGAAAAAGAAAGAAAGAAGAAAGGGGATATGGATGATAGATAGATGGATAGATAGATAGATGGATAGATAGATAGATAGATAATAGAGAGACAGATAGCTGGGATAACTGTACTGTGGATGTCTAATGGCTTTTCGAAAGGAACAGGTAATGCTTAATTTTTAAATTTTTTTGGCTTTTTTAGCAGTTTTGCATGCATATATCTGGTAATCTGAACAACTAATTTGCAGACAATAATATGCAATATAACAACCATTGATGAATTCCTACCATCTTGTGTAGTGAAACTCTGTATCATTTCTAATGTTTATTTTTTTTATTTTTGGTTTTTAATGGTTTGATCAATCTTGCATTCTTACATCTGGTAATCTGAGCAACTTCACTGAAGATAACAATATATAATATAACAACCAATGTTAATTCCTATTATTTTGTTCTGAAACCCTGCATCATTTTTATTGTTTTTGCTTTGTTTTGTTTTTGTCTATGTTGTTGGTATTTTTCTATAGTTCTTTTTTATTATTCTCTTCAAAATAAAAAAGTGAGGCTCCAAGTCAATGAAACATAGATAATAAAAGATGCATGTTAGGACATGGTGTAGAAAAGTTACAGAAATCCAATGCTGAAGATGTTTGTGTAACGTAAGTACTACTTTGGATATGCTTGAATTTATACTAAATTGAGACTTGGTGGAATCATTGTTCTACTGCAAATTTTCTAATTTCTTTTTCTGGCTGATACAATTATTTCGTTTTACAAGATACTTGATATGATTTCAAATTTGCTTTGCAATATTGACTATGCCATGTATTGTGTAGTTAACTTGGGTTTATATTCTTTATAGAGATTGGAGATAAGATACAGTACTTTTATTTAAATGTTTCAGATACACATACAGAGAACAATGTATCTAATATATCAAGTACTGAATATTTCTGGTTCATGAAATACACTCTCAATAATTTCTAGTTTATAGAATAGATTATAGCATAAACTATCTGTAATAGAAAAACTATCTGTAATTAATAAATTATCTGTAATTGAAAATACTGCTTCTCAACTCTTGTGTGTTGAAAGTAATCCTGTCTCCTTAGAGACAAAGATACACTCTATATTATGTATATTTACATGTTACTATGTCTATTTAAATGAAAAAAAGGATGAAGTTCTACATGTAAGTATTCATCAGAAACTAGAAAAAGCAGAACAAATTGATCAAAAAAGAAAATCAAAGATAAGGAACAAAATTCTAGTGTTTCTTAAATTAAAATATGTACATAGAGAAAATAAGCAAAAATAATGTTGGCTCTGGGGAGTAAAATGCATCTGAGACCCTTAAGACATCTGATCAAGAAGAGAAAAAACAGAAACAAGTACAATATCATAACCAAAAAGCAGGTCATTTACGAAGGTATAGAGAAAAGTTTTATAGAAATTTAGTACAAATAATTTCAAATCAAAGTATTTGAAAGTTAACTTAAAATTTATAAAATCACTAAGGTGGTAGCATATTTACCATAAGAAAAAAATAAAAACCTCTATAATACCATATCTGCTAACAAGCTTGAGTCCATAATTTAATACTGCCCTACAATTCTTACACCAGTTAAGAGTATACTAAGTGACAAAACTTATAATCATTCAAGAGCACAATAATACTGAGCTAACTGAAGCTCCTCCAGAAAAAAGAAAAAGTAGGAAACAACACATTTTTAGAGAAGTGGTAAATTGCACTACTTATACCTCACAAAAAGTTTACAAGCACTGTTCTCCATGAAATAAATTCAATATTGTAATATATATATATAAAATGTAGCATGAGCAAATGATTAAATTTGGTTTATAAAATAAAATGCCCCTAGGTTCTGAGAAAAGAGATATCAAAAATGAAGCAAAATATAACTAAATTGAATACCTTTCCATGACTTACAACTAAACAACAACAATAATTCTCACTCTATATCCCATAAATGGTATTTATAGTCCCCTAAACAACTCACATTTTGTGGTTCAAATCTGAAAACAACAGTGATACCAATTTCCTATGTGACCACTTCTATCAGACATTCCACTAAAGATTTTGGCCCATGCAGCAAAGTCCAGGAAACACAAAACAGCAAATGTATACTGGAAATGAACAAATGTAATTGATATCGTTTTCTCAGGACATTGGTGTGTAAGAATCCAGTAAATGAATAAATTAATAATTGAATTTAGTGGTGATGGAACACACGTTCATTGTAAAAAGAAGCTATTTCTACAACTCAGCCAAAAAACATGTACTGCTGAAATTTGTAAAGTATACTTAGTACATCAGATATGTATTATCTAGTGACAAAGCCTAAAATTGTTCTGAGAGATATTATCAGTAAACTATAGAAGAATATTTATGAACACAAAACTAAAACGAGTGGCTGAATAAGGATGTTCACGGATTGAAAGGCTCAGTAATGGATGTTAGTACTTTCTATCATGACATACTGATTCAGTCCAGCTGAAACACACACTACAATGTATATTGGTGACATTACAACATTTTATACAATAGGAAAACTTGCTCTCGTTGGTCTGAAGTGCTATCTATATCAGGCATATTTCCTAGAAACTTAGCAAATTATGTTTGTTTATCCAAAAAGTGCTTGTTCATTAAATGACTATCCAGAGCATCACTTCCAGGGGCTTCAGTTAGACAGATGGATCGTGTATCGCTTTGTGAAAACAGATAAACATTTTTCTGAATATGCCAATAAAATGAGATAAAAAAACAGCTCTGCTAAGTAGATCATAAGGAGATGGTTATTATCAATTGGGAGTTATTCTCCATATCACTCTTCCCATCTGTCTAGAAAAGCAAAGGAAAAGCCAGGCCTGATGAATCTAGCTACAATTTCAGCACCCTTAGATGATGAGGAAGGAGGATTGCAAGTTTGAGACCAGACTAGGAACTGTAAAGACTTAATAGGACTAGCCTCAAAATTAAAAAAAAAAATTTTACAGTTGGGAATGTAACTTAGTGGAAAAAGTCCTGAATTTCATCCCTAGTAATACAGGACAAAAGAGAAAAAATTAAAATGATAGGAAAGAATGGAAAGGAAAGGACAGGGCAGGACATACAGGAACACAATCAGGCTCAGTGAGTCCAATGAGATTCTGGGGGTGGGTCTGTGAATAAGAGAAAAATAATAAGTGGAATGGATATTTGAATTTGTCACTAGACATGGAGCAGTGTGTGAGGTGTCCAGATCATCAGTATGCCAACATTCACCAAAACCACTGCCTCCAAAAGTCTGTGACGTTTCTGGCTTATGAAGACCCCATGGGGAAGATCCTGGCTGGCACAGCCTTGAGCTTCACTGTCCTCACAGCTGCTGTCCTTGGGCTCTTTGTGAAGCACCGAGACACTCCCATTGTCAAGGCCAACAACCGGGCCCTCAGCTACACCCTGCTCATCTCCCTCACCTGCTGCTTCCTCTGCTCCTTGCTCTTCA